CTGGTCTTCCATAACACCTAAGCAGAGCCACAGGCTGAAAGCCATCGTGCCAAGCCGCATAGAGGCAACAATTGCTGCAAAAGGGGCCCAAACCAAGTACTGATTACATATGCATGCTCATACTTTTCAAAGGTCCAATGATGTTCTATGTACAATCCTTGTTTTATTGATTACATGTAATACTCTAATTTTCTGAGATTGTGGATTTGGGGTTTTCATGAGCTGTAACCCACAATCATCACAATTATGACAAATCACGGCTTGAACTATCTAGCTTTGCATGTAATGAGTCTACCTCATATATTAGTTTCACCTTTTAAGTTGCATTACTAAAATAAAGAACTTTTGCATGATATTCTAATTTTTCGAGTTTCACCTGTATATCTGAGTTTCTATATGTGTAATGATATATTCTACCAAAAAGCCAAAAAATAATTAACTAAGCTACAAACAGTTTCTGCTAATGAATTATGTTCTCATTTGTAATAGAGTACATCAGCAATATTAATAGAAAATATGGACCTCTATATGCTAAATCCATGCAGTACCAAAATCTGGTAAGTACATTTTCAGTAGACTCTTTTAAGTGAAGAGTTTATTTTGCAAAAGTAAAAAAAGATTTCAAGAAACAGTGCTAGGCATCATAAACACATGATATGCATGATTCATTATTGATTATATGCTGTCAAATTTGTATCAACACTTAAAAAGCCAGATAATGAGACCATATTGAGGATGATCTATATCCCCAGTCTCACCCTTCAGGTCCCCTAATGGTGTGCCCACTGCTGATTGAGTCCACCCAACTTATTGCTGATAATCCTTTTATTTCTTTCTATATTGCCGAGCATTATGGACTTCTCAAGGGAGCTATGTCTTTGGTGAAATGTCTAAAATATGATACATATTTTTTCCACTGTGCTTCTCGCTTTCATTATTGCAGCTTGGAGAGCATTTTCAGCTATCAAAATGTCTCAGCTCTAGTGCACATTTTTGATGTTTCTTCCTTTAATTTTAAAAATATATTAAGCCTCTCTTAATTCAGCATATGGATTTAATGAATAATTTTAGTTTTAATATTCTTAAGCAATTTGAAATTCAATTGAACTGTCATTGGATTTATGACACCAGTAGGGTCATACTCTAGTAACTACTGTGTACTGAATTATTGTAGGCAACCTCAGAAAGGGTAAGAATTCAGCCCAAGTCTCTTGTTGGTAGTTCATTGTAACAATGGAGGTATTACTGCAACAAGCCATTATTACGTTCACATGTTCCATTTGTCTGGAGGGGGGTGATAGGCGGAGCTTAGGCCCTGGGAGGTTTCTAATAATTTCAGGAACTGTTGCCAAAAGCTCAAAATAAATTGGATGATGCAATTCAAGATTACCATATTTTTAGGTGTATGAACCGTACTGGAGTATAAGACGCACCAAGGTTTTGAAGAGGCAAATTTTTGAAAAGTAGGTGGGTAGATAGAGGGATAGAGAGGGAGAGAAAGAGAGAGAAATANCAAAAATGAGATGGTGAAGATCTTGTGGGACTTTTGAATACAGATGGATCATCATTTGGAATACAACACGCCAGATAGCACGGTTGTAGCGGGCCAAAACGTACAATTTATTGATATCGCGGTACCATGAGATGCCAGGGTCGAAGAAAAAGAACTGGAAAAAAATCACAAAATATTGTGACCTGGCCATTGAAACTACCCGATTATGGATGAAACATGTAACAGTGATACCCATTATCATTGGGGCACTTGGTACCATGTCCAATAATTTTATAAGATACTTCAACAAATTGCAGCTTCCTGCAATAACACCAGCAGAACTGCAAAAAACTGCAGTACTTGGAACATTGTATATTTTAAGAAGGTACTTGGTTGATACCTAAGACACTGGCAGCAATCCGTATTAACCATTAGCACCAGTCAGTGGTATTTGTGACGCATTTTTGAATGTTCAGTTGACTGAGTTTCATGTTTAATGATAAAGTATAATTATAATAATAAATACTAAATATTATTTAGTCTGCAAAGACCTCTGCTGTTTTTTAAAAAATGTTTCTAAGTATTGTTCTCTGAGTTTGGAAAAATGTTATCAAGAATTTGAATTACATAAATTAACACGCTCTTCCAATCCATTTAAATAGCTGCAGTTTAAAAGTGGGATACTATAGCTAACAAAATATTTCATAACTAATATATTAAAATCAGTTTTCTGTAATTCACATTAAACTAATTATTTCACTTATTTGTTTGTTTCAGAGCTTTGCTTTATTTTTTATTGAAAATTAAGCAAGTTAACACTTTGCCTCATTTGAAAAACTAGTTTTATTTTAAGATCAGGAAAACAAGAATGTGGCGTTAACTCTTCCTGCTTTGTAATACTTTGTTCAAAGAAATCATGTGGGAAAAATGTTTTCTGGTTTTTAAAAACAATGAAAACAATAAAACAAAGGTAAATATTGAAGAAAGTTGATACTTTCAAAACCAGTTAAGGAAGAATAATTTTAAAGATTGTACACAGCTACATCTCATTACATGACAAGGAAAACGGTTTAATAGCTCTCATCCTTTATTTGAAATTCAAATCATATGAAAAATGCTTTTGTCCTGCGTAATTCTATAGCCTTTATTTATGTTGATTTAACTTTTGTTGATTAACTTATGTTGATTTATCTTGCTGCAACAACTCTTTTTTTCCTGGTATTTTGTTGTTGTTTTTTTTTAATTATAATAATATCCTACTTTTCTATCAGAGGCTTATACTTTAAGGTGACTTACACTATAATGTTATAAATAATACCTTACAAATAAAATAATAACAGTATAGTAAATATACAATAAAATAAATAGTAAAAAAGCTACAAATACAACCCATCTTAATGGATAACTTCTGAAACACCGTGTGGCCTCAATTAGGTCAAGAACAAGGCAGAATAATATGCTTAATGGTCTGTCTTGCTGCTTAGACTCTTAACTGAGAAGACTTTCTCTTTTATTTACATAAACCATGTTCAGTTGTGATAGCACAGTAAAAAAGTATTGAAGAGGAAGAGGGATTTTTTTGTGTCCCAAATTTTAAAGGGACTTCAGGAAATACATTTTCTGTAGATCTTGCAGTCAAATTGCTAGTCTTTCTCCAGACAAAGGTCTAAGTATGACTAAGGTTTATGAACAGTCTTTCAATAGAGCATTATAATGAGCAATTCAACTTGAAAAGAAATAGATGCATTTTTATACTTAAAATCAAAAGGAGTGGTATTGCATGAATAACACAAAAATGTTTTTTCAAATTGGGTATACTGTGTTTTCTCTTTTATTGTGGTTTCTTGCCTGGATTCATTTAGGATAATGATAAAATATTTGTTGGTATAGGATAGAAATTTATTTAACAGTCTTTTGTTAAAATGATCTATTTTCAAATAATTGTTCCAAATAGAACTGGAAGCTCTGCAGAGCAGCACCCTTGCCAAGTAATAGTTAGGCCTTTTAATGATAGTCTATATTTTAAATGATCAGTTCAGTATAAACTGATCATTTGGGTAGTCATCACATTGCTTGTATACATTTGATCTTTTGTTAATATCAATAAAACTTTTATTTANGTCAAGCCTTGGAGCAGTGGGGAGGAGACAAGGGAGTTGGTCCTGGATGCCTGGCAACGGCTGGCAGATCGGCATAGAGAACAAATATGCAGGTACAGAAGATAATTGGACCCAGGTGGTTGTAATTAGGCTCCTCTCAAGATAGTATTTAAGAGTGGAGATGGTGGGGTGGAGCTGCTCTACTACTTAACTTTAGATAGTTGCAGCCAGACCTCGCACACCTCGGGCCATTTTTTTTTTTGCTGCACTTGGCAAGGCTTTCCTTGAAGGCCTCTTTAGCCGATAACAGAATTAGGGATTGATCTGGAGCTCTGTTATCAGCTGCAGAGACCTTCAGGAAAGCCTTGCTGGCCTTGCCAGATGAAGAAGTTCCTGAAGGCCTCTGATAGCAAAAAAGAGGTCAGGGCGATGTGTGCAAGTGAGGCAAGTCGGTGGTGACTGGGAGCTTCCATTCAATGGGCTCATCCCACTTGGCTGGCTGCCTCACTTTCCACTTGCTTTCTCGGACCACATTTACCCCCGAGAACACTTAAGGGGTCTTCAGCTTCTGCCACCTTGCTCATGTTCGTTGCCCAGTGGGTCTTGAGTCCCTGATACGGGGCATCCTTTGCTCATTCTCTTGTGCTCATCGGCTGCTTGAACTTCTCAGCCTTCTGTATGGGCTGTGCGCCCACTGGTTGCTCCCTTGCTCCAGGGTGTAACATTGCCAGAGCCTGTCAGGCTGGGAGTTCTCCTGGTTCCTTCTTTTCCTTCAATTCCTTGTCTGCTGTCGACATCTCAGGTTGTTGGCCTCCTTCTGAGGTCCAGGTGGCTAGTACTAGGAGAACTGGCTTAATGTCAACTGTCCCATTGGCATATGCAGCAGAAAAACAACAACAACCACCTGGGACATTATTTTACCAAGAGTATAACTTTACTGATTAGATCCATATAGATACAGTAAGAAGCAAAGCCGGTTCTTAGGTTTGGGTGCAAAAGGTAGCATAATTAAAATCCCCCTTTTTCCTCCCTCGGCCACCTCATGTCCATTGTCCATTAATCCAGTTCAACAGTCTGTGCCTCTCGAAAGGTTCCCATCAGGCAACTTTGAAGTGTAGGGATTTTCCCAGGCTTCAAATGGCTCACTTCCCTTACTTCCCTTCCAGCTCCCCATATATCCCAATCATCCCTCCACCTACCCTTAATCTCTATTTGCATTACAAATCAGAACATTTTAATCTTGCCACATCATTAACATTGTTAATGCTCCAAGAATTCCTCAATTCTTCTTGAAAATTGGAGCCCCATCCCACTTCGGGGCCTATCATCTGACTATATCATACTTTGGGTGATCTTGCTGGAAAAAATTAGCATACAATCCTGGTGTTTTTCAGTCTAAGAATCTGCCTGTAGTGATGAGGCAATGTAATTGGGAGTGCCATAAATGTGTTATTCTTTCAATGCAAGAACATATCTTAATCTTATTTTCCAATCCAAGTATTTAAAATTTCCGTTAGTTAAAATGTGAAAAACTGTAACTGGCTTTATTTTTATTCAGAATTCTTCATTAAAGTACCTATTCACTACTATGTTTTGACTTCTTGCAGCATTCTTAGCTCTGCAGTCCCATAACCTCTTTTATGAGAGAAAAATATTTTATTTGAAAGAATGCATACTCTTTGTAGAATACATGCATCTCCTTGATATATTTGGCAGTGAAGAGAATGAAGAAAGTTGTATAACAGTTAAAATGTCCCCAAGATATTGATAAATTATTATTAAGCCTTATTTTGCACAGTGATTTTTATTGTATTGCTGATGCTTTCTTTGTTTGAAAAACAATGAGAAATTTTTCATATCATTTTGAAGCACATTTCTGGGATCAATTACCATAAAATGGTTATTGGCTCAGTCAATAGTTTTATCTGTACTTTGAGAAATAGCTTTGAACATGCAGTTCATAATGTAATTTTTATCTGTCCTGAAGGTTTGTTGTTGAATTGTGCGAACCCATACAAGTAAAACAGCTGGATATTGCTAATCATGAGTTATTCTCATCTACTCCCAAGGATTTTCTGGTGTCTATCAGTGACAGGTATGTCTCATGATAAGAATACAATTGTAGAATTTATTGCCACAAAGTTTAGTGAAACTGAAAGTCATTTTCAGTATTTGTAATTTCATAATTTTTATAATGTTCATGATTTTAGCAGAGAAATCTAGCATGCTTATTTAAAGTTTAATATTCAGGAAAATATTTTTTTTAACAAATTCTCATTTACAGTTCTTTTCTTTGCAGAAAAAAAATTGAATCCTTAACTTTACAAGTGAATAAGGCTTCAGCTCGTTTTTATTATGGTTACACCGAACTGCTTTTTTAAAAATAATAAATTTAGGCTAATGGGCTGCTTTAAATTCTTTCCATTTTAATTTCACATAATTATATCAGATGTGGCCTGCTTTCAACACAGTCAAATGCCAATACAAAATACTTAAGAGTAACTTTAATGCAAGAATAGGAAGAGCAATACCTGGAGAAAAAGCGAGTGGCCTATATGGAAGTGGTGGAAGAGATAATAGAGTTGACAGAATAGTAGATTTTGCTGAAGGACAGGAACTTTAGGTAATGAACTCATTTTACAAGAAAGAAAGCTAGCAGAAAATGGATATGGGTCCATCTGGGATGGACAAGCAAAATTGACTAGATCATGTCAAGTGATAAAATCATATTCTGCAATTGTCATCAATCGTTTTAACATTGGAAGTGACCATAGAATGGTACAAGCTAAAATGAAAATAGACAGTTAAAAGGAATGTATGAAATCACAAAAAAAAAATAAAGAGTGATAAGCTGTTAGAGGAGAACAGGAATTTTGAGATTAATTTGTCAAATTGCTTTGTTCCATTGCAAGATTTGGAAAAGATGAATATTATGGACCCAAATGAACGAATAGTCAAAAACATCCTTGAATCTGCTACATCTATAGCACCGCAGGAAAAATTTTTTCCATAGTCAAACTTTGATGAAACTATTGATTTAATGAAAAAATGATGGACAATAATTAATCCTGCAAGTTTCACTAATAAACTGGAGTACATTGAACTTTTTAAGACCATAAGAAAATGTATCCAATAAGAAATGCATCACTATAATGTGAAGCTTGTGAAAAAGGCAATTGAAGAAAACAAAGGGATTAGTAGAGTAAAATGCAATCTTTAAATACAAGACAGAAGGTTTTGCATTAAAATTGAAGATGGCTCTGTGTGTAGAACAAGGCAGGAAATGTTAGAAATAATTGGAAAATTTTATTTAGAGCTATACAAAGATAAAGATCACTCAAAAGTAACCACACCCACAAAAGAGGAAATGCCAGATATTCTAGTGGAAGAAGTATCAAGTGTCATAAAATCAATGAAAAATGGCAAAGCTTCAGGAAATGACTGCATTATGGTTGAAATACTGAAAGCTGGTGGTTACACTTTACACAGGATACTAGCAAAACTATACTTAAGATGTCTTGGAGAAGAAAAAATACCTGATTCATGACAAAATGCTGAAGTGATTCTTATATACAAGAAAGGGACCCCAGATGATTTAAAGAACTATCGCCCAATAAGCTTTCTTTCGGTCATCTACATGGTTTTCACCAAGATAATACTGTGATTCCCCAAAAATAAGACTGGTCTTCTATATTTTTTTCCACCAAAAAAAGCACCAGGTCTTATTTTCGGAGGGTGTCTTTTACTGACTCATAGACAGCCCCGCCCAACAGGAGCCCGCTGCCGGCCAGTTCCTCTGCAGCAGCCTGTCGCCCATGTGCGCATTACCCGTGGCCTTCTTTCAGGAAAGGCCTCTGCAGCCAAGAAACGGGCTCCAGATTGATGTGCACGGCACCCCCATCTTCCATTTCGCCATCAGAGGCCCTTCAGGAAAGGCCTCTGCAGCCAGAACCAGAGCTATGGGTCAATCTGGAGCTCTGTTGAAGGACCATTACATATACCTTGGCAGACAGATCTCAATGGAAAGTGATACAACAAAGGAAATTGAATGGCAAGTTGAATGTGGTTGGCAGGTTTTCGACAAACTAAGTTCAAGAATTTATGCTTTTGCCTCAAGAGAAAAGTTTTTGATCAATGTATGATCTAACATATGCTGGTGAAACATGGACATTAACCTCACAATCGATACAAAAACTATTTGTGGCCCAAAGAGTCATGGAAAGATATATGCTCGGCATTACAAGACAGGCACATGGATTAGAGAACAAATAAAAGTATATGATATCAATCAGAGAGTAAAATAATGGAAATGGAAATGGGCTGGGCATAACAAGAAGAACTGATGTCAGGTAGACCAAGGCAGTCATACAATGGATCCCACTTGATAAAAAGTATCCATTTAGAGACCTAAAACAAGATGATGGATCAATGACATCAGCAATTATTGTGGCCCCAATTGGCCAAAGAAAGTTCAGGACTGTATTGGTTGAAAACATGTGGAAGAGGCCTTCATCCCGCAGTGGATATACAATGGCTAAAATGATGATGGTGGTATTATCTGTAAAATAGAAAGCATTGTTGGCAAATGAAAGTTCAGGACTGTATTGTTGAAAACATGTGGAAGAGGCCTTTATCCTGTAGTGGATAGACAATGGCTAAAATGTTCTCACATGCAAAGTAGAAAGCATTGTATAATTTATATGACATTTTAAGAAGTTTCTTATTTGCTATTTAATCATAAAGTCATTGTGCTTTCTGATTTTTTAATGCACTGTTTTCCTAGATATCCAACAAATAAGTGGGTCAAGCTTGGTACTTTTCATGCCAGAGATGAAAGAAATGTCCAGAGTTTTCCTCTGGACGAACAGATGTATGCCAAATATGCAAAGGTAATTTATTTTGGGGGATTGCAACTTTCTTAATAAAATAGACAAAAAGAAATTATATTACTAGGACTCATAACTACCAAGTTGTGTAAGGCAATTATGTTGGCCTGCTGTTATGCATGTGGATAACAAATACATGCATGCATTTAAGCAAAATTTCACTTGTCAGAAGAGGACAGATGAAGTAAACCATAAAAGGGACAATTTAGATCAGGAGTGTCAACTGGATTTCTTTGAGGGCCGGATCATTAGTGTAGTTCTCCGCAGGCCAGCCAGGGGAGGGAGAAGGGATAGACACCTCCTGCAGAACCCTGCTGGCCAAAATTGGTGCTGGGCCCCATGTGCGGCCCACCTGCGTCCTGTTTTTGGCCTGGATGGCCTACTACCGCATTCAGCCAGCCAAAGCGGGGTGTGAGGTGGCCTCCCTGTACCCCATTTTGGCTGCCAGAGGTACTGCGGGCTAGTTGCTATTTCCAGGCCGGCCCTGCGGGCCAGATTTAAGCACCCTGTGGGCCAGATTCTGCCTGCAGGCCTTGAGTTTGATACTCCTGATTTAGATCATCATATAAACCTTCCATAGGAATTGTGTTTATAGTATGTTTATAGTATTATGTATCTAGTTTATAGTGTTAGAGTTTATACTATATGATTCTAGTAGTCTTGATGGGCAGTTATTCAAATTCTGCTTATATATTTCAAAAATGAGCATTTGTCATCCATCAGTGGATTTCTTCTTAATCTCTTCCTATCACCAGTTCTTTTTCTCATACTTTGATAATTGCTTTTCTGTGACTTGAATACACATCATTCACTCTCAGTTTTTAGAAACCTCCTTTATATTTGAATGCTAAATGTATATTGCTTGTGCTGTGTGAACATATGTGTGCATATAGATTGAAACTGATTATGGGCCCTTTTTAGTCAGTATTCAAAATACAGGGCTAAAACCTGATAATGCTTATTGATGATAACAAGAGAGATTTGAATGGTGGAGAGGGGAGAGGGGAGGAGTTGGTGACTAGTGTTCAGTGCCATCTACTATAGTATCCTTCTGAGCCACCTGCATTCAGCAGCTGGATTTGTATTCTTATAATAGTGTCTGAGGCTAGGAAGATCTGTGTGGGTTAAGGCTGAGTCGTGGCACAGTAGAATGACTCTTCCTCCAGAAGCCATCTCTCTGGTGGAATACCATCTTTGACTGATTGGTGGCTTTCCTATTACAGAGCAGCTGTACAGTCTCGACTCATGAGAGTCGAATCATGTCAGCTATGATAGTAGGCAGAATGAAAAAAGAATCTTTGGGTAGTTGTGATTACTCCTGGAACAGAAGGTTTTATTGATTGTCACTCATTCCCTGTGATCTCTTGCTAGATTACTACAAAGTTCATTATCTCTTGACTAGATTGTTACAAAGCTGCCACTGAAAAATATTTGGAAACTAATTTAGTCCAGAATGTTGTAGTTCACCTATTAACAATTTCTACCTGTTTTATCATTTGCTATCTATATTGTAGAAGCTTCATGGATTTTATTTGGCTTCTGGATGAAGTCTAAGTTGTTGACTATTATCTTACAGCTAGGTATTTGTATCTGCAAAACTGTTAAAGAGAATTCTGCCACTACAATAAGAAAATAAAATGGATGGCATTTACAGGTACTTCCACCTAGTGAATGTCAGCAACTTGGAACTCAGAAATAAAACACTTATGGTGGCAGTTGTTCTGCATAACAGCTTATCCCCCCTCCTAAAAAAAGATGGCCTTGTCTCAGTTAGTAGGTTAGAAAACAGTTAAGACCTCACTTTTTCAAAGTCCTTTGAAAATGCAACTACTGTGTTGTTCCCAAGATGAATGAAGTGATTTATTTATTTATATTTGTTGTTTAATCTTGATTTTAAAAATACTGGCAACCTCATAAAAGGAAACCCATTTATTTGACTCATTCATTGCATAGATTCTATTGATATCTAGAATATTAGGCTAGAAATTTCAATATTGCTATTATTGGTGGCTTCTTTCATTCCATTCCCTTGACATCTGCTATTTATTAGCAAGGGAAAATCAAGTTCTTGATACTTATACTCACTATCACAAGTTAATTCTGAAGAATGGGCTATCCTAATGGTGATGGTTTCCTACTGATCTTTGGCATTGACAGTTTTTTTCTTTCCTCCTTTCTCTTAAGAGAAGGCAAAAACCACTCCAGCCCATTGTTGGACCCAGTGGGATTCCAGAAGGAGCTTGGAGTCTTCTGTAAGGATCTGGTGGGCAGTTCATTTGAGCTTCTAGTAGCTTGTTGAAATAGGCAGACGACTTGGATCTTGGACCATATCACCCCTATGCAGCCACTTTGTGTACCAACTGAGGGTGCACCTTGGCTTAGCAAGGAGATCTGGAAAATAAAACAGCAGAAGAGAAGTCTGAAGCAGCATTGGAGGAAGAGTTGACGTGAGTCTGATTGGATATGGCTCATAACCTATATTAGAGATTGAAGTATTTCAAAATGAAGCTTTTATTAAGCAGAAGTCAAAACAATGAGTTCAAAGCAACGTCTGAATCCCCTTAGGCAAGGCAAGTAAAATTAAAGCAGTAGAGACCCCTCCCATTAATCAGAATGCAGATTTTAGCCAATACACATGTGAAGTTAGTTCCTTTACCAGCTGCCCTGAGAACCGGATAAGCATACATTCCCATGGCTATCTTCTGTTAAACATTAAAGTGAACCATCCCACATGGCCATCATAAACATTCCCCAAAAGATGAGGAGATCTCAGGGTGCTTCAGCGCCAGGAAACATGTTGTAAAATATCAGTTGTCACAGGCACTGCCAATAAATAGAATCCAGAAGCCCCCCTTCTCCAAATTGAATGGCAGTATCACTTTTAGGGATCGCACATGCTGCCTTCCTTAGAAAAAGGAGAGATCCGTTTATGAAAAGATAGAAACAAAAATTCCATCATAGTATTTTAACAAGGTTTGTTACGGTATTGGGAGTGAATCTTTTTCAGTAAGGTAGGGCCCCTAACGTGGTGTTTTGTGGCACATTCATTTTGGGATGAGTGTAGATGCTTTCAAGCAACTAATTATTGGGGTTTCCCCCGGTGGATCCTAGTGTTAAGGATTTCCTTGATTTCAAAGTGTTGTTCACCTTCTATCATTATGGGAACAGTTGGTATAGGTGCAGGTGGTCTGAGTGATGAGATTACCTCTCGTTTGAGTAAACTAATGTGAAATATTGGGTGGACTAGTCTGAGTGTCTTTGGAAGGAGTACTTCTACAGTTACTGGATTGATGAGCCTAACGATAGGGAAAAGTCCAATGAAATTTGGCCCTAATTTCTTCAATGGCTGTAATGATTTCAGGAATTTTGTAGATAAGTATACTCTATCTCCAACATGAAAAGGTTTGGGTTCCATTCTTTTCTTGTCAGCTTGAATTTTAAAAGCCCTCTAGTTTCCTTTAAAGCTAATCTAACTACTTGCAATGTGTTTTCTAAGGTATCCATCCACTCCTTAAATGACAGAATCGTGGGTTCTTCTGTGGGTAGTTCAGGCATAGGGCTGAAATCTTGGCCTCTTGCTACTCTAAAAGGGATAAAACCAGTACTTGAGTGTACAAGTTATTGAATGCTACTTCCTCAAAAGGTAAATGTTCAGTCCAGTTATCCTGTTGAAAATTCATAAAACATCTTAGATATTGTTCTAGTACCAAGTTAGTTCTCTCACACTGACCGTTAGTCGGCACGTGTTGCAAAGAGCTCACCCCTGGGCGGTGCCAAGTAAGTTTAAAAATGCCCTCCAAAATTCTGCCGGAAATGATTGTCTGTGGGATTCCATGAAGACGATAAATGTGTATCACGAATAACTTGGCTAGACTTTTGGTAGTTGGGATTGTTTGGCAAGGTATAAAATGTGCCTTTTTTGAAAACAGGTCTATTACAACCCAAATAACATTATTCCCCGCACTTTCTGGTAGTTCAACAATAAAGTCCATAGCACTCTCTCTCTGAGGTGCTGAAGGTTCAGCTACCTTCTGTAAAGGTCCTGGGGGTTTCCCCTGATGTCTTTTTCTGCTGAACAAATGGGGCAGCTAGCTACATAGCTCTCTAGGTCCTTTTTTTAGTGATGGCCACCAAAATTGTCTTTTAATTAGGTGTAAAGTTTTCACAAACCAAAGTGTCCAGCTAATTTGGAGTTGTGGCACCTTGCCATTAAGCGCAGTCTTTGGCTAGCTGGATACAACTTCCCTCCCACCAAGCTAAGTTATCTTTCATCAGGCAGCTAGATTTATGGCTCAAAAACCATTTATTGGTGGCTATAGCTTGTTTAAAAGTTTGGGTGGTGTCATTGTTCGTCAATGTTTCTTGTTTTGCCTTGCATCTAGTGATTACTTTAACGGCTAATTGATTGTTTTGTACTAGGGATTTGATTATGTCTGGCTTCGTACTATTGTATTGTGGTTTTCTGGATAGTGCATCTGCCAGAAAGTTTTTTCCCCCAGGAAGATATTTGACTGTAAACTCAAACTGTTTAAAGTACTGAGCCCATCATTCTTGTTTTGGGGAGAATTTCCTTGGGATCTTTAGGGCTTCTAAATTTTTATGATCCATCCAGACTTCAAAAGGGATCTTACTCCCCTCTAGGAAATGCCTCCAGGTTAAAAGCGCCCACCATACTGCATAAGTTTCTTTCTCCCAAATGGCCCACCATTGCTCAGTTTCATTCAACTTTTTGGATGTGTAAGCACATGGTTGTAATTGGTCGTGCTCATTTGTCTGAAGCAGGACCACCCCTATTGCCACATCGCTGGTATCTGCTTCTATGATGAATGGTTTCTCTGTTTTGGGGGCTTTAGAATTGGCTCTGCTGAAAACAGCCATTTAAGTTTTTCAAATGTAGCTTGGCATTCCATTGTCCGGTTCAAAGGCTGCTTCGGTTTTGGGTTACCCTCCACCTTCATTTTTAAAAGCTTAGTGATGGGGAGGGCAATCTGAACAAAAGGGGGGATAAACTGGCAGATAAATTTGGCAAATCTCAGGAAGCTTTGTAACTGTTTACATGCAGGGTGGTTCCCAATCAAGTACTACCTGTAATTTTAGAGGGTCCATTTCTATGCCCTATTGTGAAATTCAGTACCCTAAATTATCTATTTTTTTCTTGGTGGAATTCACATTTAGAGTTTAGCATAAAGTTTGGCGGAGCAGAGTTTGTTTAGAACAGCCCAGACTAGTTTTACATGTTCTGCTTTGGTCTCAGTATATACCAAAATGTCATCTAAATAAACCAAGACCCCTGTAAAGTTTCCTAACGATGCTATAACTAATTCATAATAATAGAGCCAATGTTTTAATACAAAAACCAGTGATTTATTAACAGCTTCATTAAGCATTATTCATTAGGCAAGATTTATTGGCAGTTATTTCTTTGCTTTGTTTATCTGCTTCTGAACTTTGCCCCTGTTCCTTTCCTCCACTCAGTCTGTGTCATAAAACACGCTACCCAATAGATACACCGATCTCAAACCAGCTACTGTAATCTGAGATCCAGCTCCGCCAACAGTTTGTGTGAAATGTCAACATGGAGAGTTGACAACCCCCTTATACAAATGCTCGTGTAGCAGGTGCTTTCCTGTCTTGTTATTCGGAGAGGTTCCAAGGAACTGATGTACACACTAGTTCTTGGTCTTTACCATAATCATTGGTTCTGCATGGAATCATTTTTAGTTCACCATACCTCCCTTAGAAGTTGAGCTGCTGTGAGGATATTATTTAAACTATCTGATGGATAAAGTCTCTCAGATTTGCTCTGACTTGGACTGTCATTGGGCAGGGCTGCAGAGGTGCCTGGGGCATAGTTTAGTAGTATAATTTGGGATGTATTTGAGTCAGGGACTCTTGAGAATGAACAGAGTTCTCTGTGCTATCAGTTCAGCTACCCATTCATTGGATCTAAGCCCGTCCTGTGTCAGAAAAATGTAGACAAGATGACCTGCAGTCGAGTATATGATATAGTGTTGGTCTCTTTGAAGGAGGAAATATTACCTGCCTTGGAAGAGGCTTGGAGCCCCTCCTCAACTAGCTATCCTTGTTTTCATAACTCTCATCCAGTTTCTGACCTTCCCTTACTGGGAAAGGGTGTTGAAAAGGTGGTCAGCCTGCAGTTGATAAGAATTCTGGAACGGCGTTATCTAGACAGGTTTCAGTCAAGCTTCAGGCAGAATTTAGTACTGAGAAGTTGGCTGCACTTTCACTTGTGGTAGAAGCAAAATGAAGATGTGCTCCTACATCTCTCAGCTGCTTTTGTTATTGCTGACCACAGCAACTCTCTGATTCTGCTCCGTGCATTGGGGATACATTTTTCAGTAGTTTTCTTTCTTTCTCTGAGGCCAATATCAGATGTGGGGATGTGTGTGTGTGTGTGTGTGTGTGTATTGTGTCTTAGCCTCCTTATTTGTGAGGTGCCATAGAGGTTTACTTTCTTTCCCTGTTAGTCAACATCTCTGTGGAACTTTTGGGTGAGATCAGTACATATACCGTGCTGCATCAGTACACTGTACATCCGGGCACAGTACACTGGAGATACTCAAAGTTATCTTTTGACCCTTTGGACAGCCCTTTGGACAGTATTCTGTCCCAGTATCTGGATGCTTGTTTTTGGATGAATAGAAACTGTTTCTAATTCAATATTATCAAGACAAAGAGGCTGTACGTAGCTCAAAAACCCACAGCTCCTTAGTCATTTTAGGATTGAATTGGATGGTGTAGCCTGTTCAAAGATGGTGCACCATCTGGGGATCTTCCTGAATTTACAGCTCCTGCTTTATGAGCAGGTGAAAGCAACGGCCAGAAAGGCCTTTGTACAGCTTCACCTGAAGTGCCAGTTGTGCCTCTTCCCAGAATGGGTGGTTCTTCAGACATGCAGTCACACTTCGTTCACCTTATGACTTGACTACTACAAGTGCTCTACAGTTGATCTAAAATGCAGGCATGCACATGTAACTTCTTTGCTTTGCTCTCTGCAGTGGTTGCCAGTTTGCTTCTAAGTGTGATTTAAGGTAATGGTTGTTATTCTATAAAGCCTTATATGGCACAGGGCCCAATTACTTGAGGAACCATTTGTCTGCCATATCTTTCTCATTGATACAGTCTTGCTGGATTGGCATACTCTAGGTGCCTTTGATTAACTAAAGCTGTTGAGTCCTGAAAGTACACCTTCGCTTTCATAGCACCTGATCTTTGGAATAAGGTTCACCCTCCAAGATTCAGATAGGCTCACCCTGATGGTGTTTCTAAGATTCTTGAAAGAGCTGGCTATTTGGCAAGGGTGTTTGAATGCTTCTTTAAATGGTGTAAGTTTGTTTTTCCTCTTTTCCATTTTGCTGTCTTACATTGCTTGTTCTTTTTTATTATTATATGTTTTACAGGTAGTCCTCGACTTAACAACCATTAACTATTCAAAGTTACAACAGCACTGAAAAAAGTGACTTATGAGTGGTTTTCACACTTACAACCGTTGTGGCATCCCTATACTCACATGATCAAACTTCGGGTGCTTGTCAATTGGCACGTATTTATGACAGTTGTACTGTCCCAGGGTGACATGGTCACCATTTGTAACCTTCTCAGTTGGCATCTGGCAAGTAAAGTCAGTGGGGGAAGCCAGATTTGTGTAACAACCACATGATTCACTTAACTAGTCAAGTGATTCGCTTAACAACTGTGACAAAAAGGTCATAAAATTGGACAAAGCTAATTTAACAACTGTTTTGCTTAGCAACAGAAATTTTGAGCTCAATTGTGGTCGTAGGTAAAGGACTACCTATATTAGTTTTAATGTTTACTTGTGAAAAGCCCAGAGGTATATAAATTTAATTGTTTCTAATTATAATTTAATTACTATTAAATAGTAATTGCTGGTACTTCTTACACTTGTTCAAGAAGGCAAACAGGAAAAACATAACGTTAAGTAATCATGTTAACATTCATTAACTTTATAATCACATTTCTTCCATTTAAAGATGGGCAGTTAAGAAATATGAATAAATAAATAAAAATGAAATGAAAATAAAACAGACCCCTTTTGTAGATTCTTTGTTTACATATTATCTGTGTAAATATATTATATGTGTATTATCAGCAAAATACTGTTGATTATATCAAAATAAAAAATATTCATTATTGTACAACTTGAAAGCCTTGAACATCTCTAGGCTATAATAGTGATATTTATTTCTGTTTTATTGGGGTTTGATTTTCCTCTAGCATTCATCTGTAATTTTGAAGCATGCCAGGTGTTCGGCTACATAACAAATAACACTGATAATTTGATTGCATGTTGCGACTTGTAGCGAGCATCTTACCATTTTCTGCAAAAGCATCGCTGTATATTGGATTGGTGGGAGGGGAAGGAAAACAATTTACATTCATTATTATTAATTGCACAATAGCTAATTTATTGCCTGCAGCATGCATGCATTTGACTGATGCTTTCTTTTTTCTTTTCTCTTACTTCAGATGTTCATCAAGTATATAAAGGTTAGCAATATTTTAATAATATTGAAAGCCTAAAGCATGGGTACACTTTTGTGGCTCTGCACACTAATGCATGAAAAGAACAGAGCCTGACAATATTCCTTTTGTTAACTTTGGGTGAAGTTTTATTTTATCTTTATACAAGAGCTATTAATCATTTTCACTTTTCATTTATTCAATACTTTTTATTTTTCAGGTGGAGTTAATATCACATTTTGGATCGGAACATTTCTGTCCTTTAAGCCTTATAAGGTATTAATGAAAAATATTATTTCTATGCTTTTTATATTCTTAAAACAAGATATTTCTGTTTGATGATATTTGCAAATATTCATTTAGATGAACTAGTTTTTCAAGGCAAAACTATACAGTACTTGCATATATAAAGATCAGTGTGAAAAAGTTGAAAAGTCAAGACTGTTGCAAGATGTAATCTGGGTCAATCATCAGGACCAGAGAACGTCTCCCTACCAGAATGTATCTTTCAGGACATTCTGTTTGTTGTATTTTTGTGGTGCTTTCTTATTGATTGATTGGTGTGTTGATGGCCAGTGATTGGCTGTTGTTTACTTGTGCTGCCAAGTCCTAAGCTCCTAAGTACATGGTCAGCTGGTAGTAAATCAGCACTCCTATTGACTGGCAAGGGGCCTGTTCCCAGATTTTAATCATTTCCCTGGCTATCTTTGTATCTGCATGGCCAACAATCTTAGTAGCGAAATTGAAAGCTGTGCTGGACTTGGCTCCATCCTGAACCAAAAAGCAGCTACAAAGCTTTCTAAGCTTTGCTAATTTTTACCGCCAATTAATCCCATCTTTTGCGCAGATTGCACTCTCCATCACAAACTTCCTTAAGACAAAAGGAGAGGATAAACCTAAACCTAGCCAGCCTCTTAAAAAGACTTTGGAATGCCAAGCAGCATTTGAAAAGCTCACGTGGCTGTTTGCAGCTGAACTGGTCCTGAAGCATCTTGATCGAAGTGCTTCCTTTGTCATCCAGGCTGATGATAGCAATGTGGCTATGGGAGCTGTGGTGCTACAAGAGAATGAGGCTGACCAGATGCAGCCTTGTGTTTACGTGTCTGGGAAACTGTCGGCAACTGAGCAGAGGTGGGTGGTATGGGAAAAGGAAGCTTATGCAATGCATTGGGCCCTCTTAACCTGAAGGCAGTTTTTTGAAGGAAGCAAGGGGCCTTTTGAGGTATGGACTGACCACAAGAACCTTGAGGCACTAAAATCCTCTTGGAGGGGTCTCTCCTAAACAAATGTGATGGGCGTAATACTTTAACCGCTTCAACTTCATGTTGCACTACACCCCAGAAGGGAAGAACTTCCTGGCTGATGCTTTGTCGTGAATACCTCTATGTAATTCCCCTAAAGCAGAAGTAGTCAAAACACTACTCCCATTCAAGCAATTGGCCCAAGTGACCACCCAGGCACAGGAGAAAGAAAACCGGCAAGATGACAATGAGGTGACAACCACACTTAAAGCCACCCTCAAAGATAACAGATAGTTTCAAATCCATGGAAATGTTTGTTCAGTCCAGATGGGTTAGCCTGAGTGGGGTCTAAACTATATGTACTGGAATGCCAGAGGCTGTTGGTCCTGGGGAAAAGTCATGAGTCCAAGTCCTCTGGGCACTTTGGCTTTGTAAAAACTCTACATCTAATCAAAAGACATCTCTGAAGAAAGACATTGAAAACTATGTGGCAGGTTATCCCGTCAGTGTGTCTATCAAGCGTCGACAAGGGTAAACCCATGGACTCCTCCAAACAGTAGAGGAATCATCAGCACCCTGGAAAGAGATCTTGATGGACTTTATTGTGGAGCTTCCAGAAAGCTCTGGGAATACAATTATATGGATACTGACTGATCTGTTTTCTAAACAAGTGCATTTTGTCCCCAGTCAGAAGATTCCCTCAGCACGGGAGTTGGCCAAATTATTTTACACCATGTCTATAGACTACATGGAGCCCCCCATTGCATTATCTCTGGTGGGGGTGCAATTCACCTCATAGGTTTTGGAGGGAATTCCTTAAATTATTGGGGACTGATCAGGGACTGAGTTCAAGTCACCAACCTCAAACTAATGAGGGTTGTGAATACACGGACTCAGTATTCGAACAATATCTCAGGTCAGTGGTCTTCAAACTTTTTAAACGGGGCCAATTCATGGTCCCTCAGACTGTTGGGTGCCCGGACCAGCTGGGTGGACGTGACTAGATTATGTGACTGGGTGGACGTGGCTAGGAGATCATTAAAGTAAACTTTAATTTGTTTTCCTCCTGGGTGTGTTTTATTTGCTTTTGTTTGCATGTTGCTATTTTGGTTGACTTCTTTTTACTAGATCATTTTTTCAGTTGTTTAGGAGTCTAGTGGTCCACTTCAGGAAACTCAGTTTTGCAGCAATTCTTCTCAGCCCCAAGGAGGTTACAATCAACAAGTCTTTCTCTCTCTTTCTCTCTCTTTCTCTCTCTTTCTCTCTCTCTTCTCTCTGTCTCTTGTCTCTTTTTCCCTCTCTTTCTCTCTTTGTCTTTGTCTTTGTGTTTATCTTTCTCTGTCTCTCTGTGTCTCTTCTGAAGGTGGGGGAGGTAAAAAAAACCAGTGTGCACAGATGCTGCGGGAGGCCTCCGTGCGTCCTGTTTTTGGCCTGCAGAGTGCTACTGGAGATGGGGGACCCTCCCTTTTTTTTGACCTCTCCCACCTCCAGTAGCGCACAGCACTCTCCAAAAATGGGCCCTTTTCCGATTTTGCCTTGTTCTCCTGCAATCACTTTTCTCTCAGTAAAAGTTATTTTGATTCAACTTAATATATTAAGAGTCTTGCTGAGGCAGTTCCTTACAGTAGTTTTGTCAAAAATTGCATGAATGATGTGATCATGCTGTTCGAGGGTGGAGTCAGGAAGCTTAAGCATTGTGGCAGCCATTTAGCCAAGTTGTAAGTAGGGGTGTCTCCTAGCGCTACAGTAGGTCTGAGGTGGACTCTTTATTTTGTGTATCTTGGAGAGTGTCATGGTCCTGTCGGAGCTTGACTCCGAGGAGGAGGAGGAGACGGAGCTAGAGCCAATGGAGGAACGACCAGAGGTGCAGGATGAGGCAGTGCCAGATCCCTTGGGCCTGGGAAGAATTGCCAGAGAAGGGGTGCAGGAGGACCAGGCAAGGGGGGAGGACAGGACAGGCAGTGGAGCAATTACCTCCCCCCAATCCCTGAGCACAGAGAATAGAGAGGAGGCGGGATCAGCGCAGGGCAACCTGAAGAGTCGGAAGGAGGGCTCCTTACCCTCTTCAAAAGGCTCATCTGGGGAATGAGATTTAAGGAAATGCTGTTGGGAGGGGCGTTTGTCGGGAACAAGTGTTGCTTTTTCCAGCCTCACATGCCCTTACCTACATCTGGATACTTCACTGTGTTTGTTTTGCTTGTCTTGTTTGCCATGCTGGCCTGGCCTGGCTATGTGCGAGGTTGCAGTAACACAGTTATACTCTGGGTGGTGCTGCAGTACGAGTCAACTCTTTCAGCGATGAGGACTTTTTGGAACCAACTTTCCTGAACTGTGGCTGCTCTCAGAACTGAGCTGCTCCTCTGGACTAAGATAGCAGCCAGGAACTATTGGAAGTGCGTGTTTAGAGCTTTGCTCCTGGACTTGCAGTAAACAGCGAGACTTTGGGGGGCAAGTTGGAACAATAAAGGGGAGTTAAGTCTTCGTTTTGGCTGTGTTGTTTCCGTGCCCAACCCTGGGTCATCACAGGGAGTTCATAAAGTCTTGCTGGGGTGGTATCTGTTGCTTTCATTTTCCAATGTTATTTTTCCATTATACAGTTGTTTTGTTTGAGTTGGCTGAGATAAGCATACAATTGTGTGACCATCATTCACATCTCTGATGTCTTTGTTGGCCAACATGTTGAGGAATCATTGAGCAGGGCAAATGTTGTAATGTCATAATCTATGTGGTTCATCACCATCGATGAGCAGCTTTTATCTACCAATAAAATAAAGTCCTGATATTGTTTCAGGTCTTTCAAGCTGTGTTGCTCCATTGGGCTAAGCATATTATTTGGTTTGTGTGTGACCCCGGTTTGATACATGTTTTTCTGGCCCTTCTATCTCTATTCTGTTAAATATGAATTCTAATTTATGTACCACATAAATATGACTCATTGAATAGCCCAAAGCACACATTCTGGTAGAGAGAAAGTCCCTGAGGAGGGACTCCAGCATGAGTCTGAAAGCTTGGAAAACTAAATCTCTCATTTTGGTGACTGACCCAGATTGGATCTTGCAACATTATTCTGGGGCACATATATTCACCTTCATTCGCAGGCAACTCTGTGATAACCTTAACTAGTAACAGCTGGGGAAATGTATTGCACGTCAGTTTTATCAGTATGCCAGTGTGAAATTAGTCTTTTGTGTAAAAGGAAACAGTCATGTTTTGTTACTTCTTTAACTAGTTTAATTAAAATATGATTTATAGAGTGTTTGGAACTAGCATGGTTGAAGAATATGAAGAAATTGCTGATTCACAGTATCATTCTGAAAGGCAAGAACTCTTCGATGAAGATTATGGTAAGTAGTTGCTCACAATTTAGGATAAATTATAGTTACATGATAATCAAGGGAGGACTTTCCTGGAAGACTTCATTTCCTTTATTTATGAATTAGAGAACAAGCCTGAGTTAATGAGTAAGTAAGGTAAAAAAGAACTACACAAGTGTAGAAAACTTTAAGGAATTCACATTAAACAGTTAGAAAATGGATAACTCTCTATAAATCCCATACACGAACTTAGAATGACATTGCAAATTTATCTGCACATTGTATTTAACAGATTAACAGAGTTGGATGTGACCTTGTAGGTCTTCCAGTCCACCCAACCACCCAAGCAGGAGACTCTACACCAGGAGTTTTCAAAGTTTTTAAACGGGGCCAATTCACGGTCCCTCAGACTGTTGGGGGGTGGCTATAGCTTGAAAAATTGGACAGCTTGCCTCCAGAAGTTGTGGGTCCTCCATCACTAGAGGTTTTTAAGAAAGACTGGATAGCCACCTAAGAGTTTAAAATGGTAGGGTCTCCTGCTTGAGCAGGGGGATGGAATAGAAGACCTGCAAGGTCCCTTCCAGCTCTATTCTGATTGTATTGCATGAAATAAAAGAGACAGTTCTGCTGCATTTGTTAGGCCCAAAAGACAGAACTTCACTGGACAGTGAGGCCCTTGAACTTCAAATCCACCAAGATTTAATATGCTCAGGGACCAATGCCGCACATTACAGGATCAATCCTCAAATCTATGACTTGTCAGAATAATTCAGCTATCTCTCCTCCCCCCCCCCCGCCCCCCAAGTGTGAAACAACACTGGAGGTTGCTCGCCTTGGCGACCGATTGGCTGCAGTAGCAGATCCCTTTCCAAACAACCAATCTCTTCTAAGGCAAGGCAAACCCTCCACCAACATCCCAACGGCAAGGATTCCACGGGGCTATTCCCAGGTCACTATAAAAGCAGCCATCACGACAGGCAGCTCAGGAAGAAGCCCCAAGACTTTTCTACTTAAGCTGGGTCTCCACGCAAGGGAGGGAGCCAGAAATGTGGGGCATGACAGTGAAAAGAAGGAGGGGGAGGGGGGAAATCCCTGTTGCAAGATTTCCTGCTTGCAAAAGAGGCGATCGCTTCTGGCTTTCTTGCAAAGGCAGGGATTTCCCCAGCTCTGGCGGAGGATGCCAGCAATCCAGAGTGGCAGGCAAGGAAGAGAACTCCCTTTTTGCAGAGAATCCAGGAAGGGAAATCCTTCCTGCCCCACTGCCTTCCCCCCCTCCCCCCCTGCAAAAATGGGGGGGGGAGTAAGGAGGAGGTGCAGAGGCAACAGGAGAGATTGGAGCCCAACCCAGCGGAGGGGAAGAAAGAGCCAGCTGGGGAACGCATCTTCCCTGGGGGAGAAGCCCCCTACCTTTTCTATGAAGCCACCCACCTACCCACCATTCCAATGTCGTTGTGCAAGGCTGACAGCCACACCACACCGCCCATGGCTGCCATGGGTCAAGCTGGTAACCCCAGGCAGGAGAAAGGAGGTATGTGCGGGTCCACCCAAAGCTTGGATTGGAACCAGCTCTTGCAACCTGGCAACCTAGGGTGTGCCACTTGTGCTCAAGCCTGTGGGTCAGATTGGGGCAAAAATTAGGTCAAATCAATTCTTGTGTTCTATGGAAGACCGAATTCAGGTACGAATGTCAGGTCGAGGCGGAGAATGACTCTGTCTGAGTGGAAGACGCACAGATCGTCCCTGATTGACAGGGCCACCAATTCTGAAATCTGCCTCGCTGAGGTGACGGCGACTAGGAAGGCCACCCTCAGGGTCAGATGTTGTAACGACCTCATGGGTTCGAAAAGAGGTTCAATAAGAAAGTCCAGGACTTTGGCAAGTTCCCAAGTTGGGAACCTGTGGGCAACAGAGGACTGAGATTGGCTGCGCCCATGAGGAATCGGCGCATGTGCAGATGCAGTGAGAGTGGCTCGGACGGGCAGATCGTGAGGACTGGCCCACAGCCTGTCTCTTGAGCGTGTTTGGTGAGAGCCTAGTCTCACCAAGCCTTGTCTAGTCCTGCAGGAATTCGAGAAAGTTAGAGGTGGATGCCCTGAGAGGGACAATATCTCGCTTACTGCACCAGGTGGCAAAAACTGCCCAGGTGGCATCGTTGATCCTATTGGTGGAAGAGCATCGAGTTTGTCAAATGCCTTGCTGAATAAATATACTATGTCCACAGTATTTTGGTGGTGTACTAATTTAGTCACTGTGTCAAGGAATGAAACAGATTGGTTTGGATTGATATGATTTTAACAAACTAATTATAACTTTATTTCTAGAAGTTCAGAGAACTGTTTTTTGATTATTTTTTCCAGTATCTTCCAAGGTATTGATATTAAGCTGATTGGTCTATAGCAGCAATGGAGAACCTTTTTTGGCTCGCGTGCCATAAGTGGGGGGAGCGCAGGGGGTCGTGCACAGGTGTGCCGCACCCATAATGCAACACGCGACCCCCCTAGTGCGCATGCGCGCATGAGAGGCGCTCCCCCCATTTTTTGCATGCTTTCTTCACCATCCCCAGGCTCCAGAGGTTTTATAGGAGCCTGGGGAGGGTGAAAACAGCCTTCCCTGCCCTCTGGAGGCTTCAGGGACCTTCAGGAGGCTTCCCTGAAGCCTCCGGAGGGCTTAAACCAACCCTACATTTTTAGTCCTACTTTCTTGCTATCTTCTCTCATTAGTGGATTGACTGTTACCTTGACTTTTTTCATGTTATTTATATGTTGAAAGAAACTTATTTTCTTATCGTTAACTTTTGTTGCAAGTTTTGTTGATTCTGAGCCTTTGCTTTCCTGACTTCATCTTTGCGGATTCAGGCTTTATGCTGGTATTGTGCCTTAGTTATGTGTCTCTCTTTCCATTTTTTGTACTTGTACAGGCTCACTACCAGCATTCACAATGGCCACAGACTAGGTAAACAGGCCTGTTACCAGTCCATATGGCTTCACACATGATGCAGGAAGAAAACTAGTTTCTCTGGCCTCCTGTTGAACATGGCCTTTATCAGTGGGGGTTTCAGGTGTCCCAGGATGAACCAGTATGGCGGCAGCCACGCTACTGCCTGTGGGAGGAGCTGGGGTTGGAAGCACGTGGCCACCAGTGCCCAGCTGGGCAAGTGGCTGCCCCTGGGGAGTTGCTGGTCTGCTGCACTCCCTTGCTGGGGAGCAGTAGCTCCAGGGGGGTTGGTGGCGCCCAATAGTCCTGTCCCCCCCCCCCCCGGGCTGGGGGCTGTGGGGACAAAGGGACTGTTGAGACCTGGCTGGCCCAACTCCAGCAGCTTGGGGTATCTGCTTCGCTGGCACCAACCCTCGCATCTCCATCCCCACGAATCTCTCTCTCAGCTGCTCCACCAATGGGCTAAGACATGCCCTTTCTGAAAGTGACAGCAAAGGGGAAGAGGCCATATAGTAAGGGGAACCATTCCTCTTTTACTGCCCAGGTAGAGATCATAGTGCCCCACACAGGAATGAGAGGAGTTGTAACAGCTCTAATGGATTTGGGATGTACCTGATAATTGATCAGCAGACAGTGAGGAGCTTACAATTGAATGTAAGACAGCTACGCCAACCCCTGAAATTCAAACAGGTCAATGGCTCAATTATAGGAGGGTTGCCTGTTTCCTATCTGATCAAGCCAGTTAGCCTGAGAATATAGAGTCAAAAAGATACTATCCAATTCATGGTGGCCCTGAAAATGATGAAAGCCATGATATTGGGATTGGCGTGGCTGAAGAAGTGGACCCCAATAGTATACTGGGGAAGGGACAGGGGGCGCTTAGTGATGACCCAGGAGTGCCTAAAAACTACTGGAAAGAAGCATAGTGACCCCAATCACAATCAGGAGGAAAAGAGGGGCCCAAGTGCATGAGGATGGCTATTGAAACGGCGCCTCAGTCATGGGAGAGATTGGCCTTTATGGCCAGATCTGAAGGTGTGACAGCCCTTTAAATGGAGAAGGAAGCGAGAAGAGGGAAACAGCTGAAAGTTTCGGTGGATTTCAAGGAGTTGGAATGAAGTACTGTGACTCTCAGGAAGTGTAAACCTATAGCCTAGTGGGTGGGTGAGTCTCCCAAGGTGGAAAAAAGTGGCACTTTACGGTGGGAACGGAACCTTGAGAAAACAGAATTAACATTCAGAGAAGGAATGGAGGAAATGTACTGACGACTTGAACTTGCTGGAGAATTACTACAGGCAGAAAGAACACGAGTTGAGATTGTGGTTAGACTGGGACTAAACATTGTGGATTGCAGAAAAGGAAAGAACAAGCTACAAGAAGCTTCTGCCTGGGAAGAAGACAGTGGAAATTTGATCTGGCAGGGGAAACGAGAGAACTGTGCTAAATAGATAGAAGGCAACCTCCTGGACTTTAAGGGAGAAGCTGATGCAACAGTAAGAACAAGGAAAAAGAACTCTCTAAGTGTCAGCCTCTGCTTCGCTATTTGCTTTTGGCTGCCATTGAAGTGGGGAGGGGGGCTTGGTATTTGGGAGGGAAAGTTTTGGTACAGGAGTTTGTAAAAAGGATAGATGGCTGGCCCACAAATTGAAGAAAGAAAAAACCAAAAAGCTAATACAGTAATTAAAGGATGAACATGGGAATTTGTTCCATAAAACAGAAGAAAAAAAATGTATAATCCCCAAAAAATTTCAAACTCTGTATGTCAGGAAAATATTTCAGAAAAAGAAATCCAAAGTTATTTACACGAGAGAAACCTACCAAATATTTCAGAGGAAGCAAGAGAAATGCTAAATGAAAAAATAACTCTAATAGAGATAAAGGAGGCAATTAAGAAACCAAAAAAAAAAAAAACCAACAATAAATCACCAGGACCAGATGGGAACCCCACAGAGATATATAAAAAATTTCAAGAAACCTTTGAGGAAATCATGTTAGAACTGTACAATGAACAAGCAAAAATGCCAAGTTCATGGATTAAGGCTTT